CCCCCCCCCTTATTTTGACTGAGAAAAGAACATCTCAATTAAGATGCTTTACTCTCTCACAATATACAGACCAGATAAGAGTTGTTAAAGCTGTATTCGTCAATTTCAAAAGAGAACAGGTTTTATTTTGCTTTGTGCTATTTACAGCCGCTGTCCATTAGGAGTCCTCGAGAGTCCCATTCTCAGCTACAACAGCACAGCCCCGTAAGTTTAGCTCAGCAATGAGCCTGCAAAACAGCACTAAATCATGGTGATGGGAGAAAGAAGAAAATGTTTGGAAATGGCAAAATGTAGCTGATGTCTTTGTGAAAGCTAGTTTTTGCTCATTGCTATTTTAAAGCATTACTAAGGTAGGCTGTAATCACAACTAGCTGGAGCAGAGTAGAAATTGTGTGCTCTAGTTTTGAGGAAACAAAAATCAGAATGGCTAGTAGTTCTGCAGAAGCTAGAGGAATCTTTTGCAATCCATAAGTACCTTAAGTACTTATATATACACATTGATCAAAATATACTAATGTTGCAGTGAGGTAAGGTGTAAGAATGATAAAAGACTAATATATGGCTATTGAGAAACAGAGTTCCAGTTGCTTTACTGGACCAGAATATGATTTCTCTGTATGAACTCTTTGAGCTGGGAATGCAGTTCATTTTTCTAGTGCTCACCAGGCTTGGAAGTGGGCAGATGTGGAGGGGAATTTTTTCCAAATCTGAGTCTGCATCCCTGAAAGTGGTAACTAAATTGCACTGTAATGCACGTATTGAGCAGAATTGTACAAAATATACAGTAAAGGAGAAGAAATAGTGCTTATTCCTTCTTTGACTGTGAAATGAGAAATTTCATCTGTACTCTTAGCTCAGCCTTTGCTTTGTTGGACAAATCACTAAACAGCTCTTTAATAACATCTATTTTTTTCAGCATGGTGTTCTACCTCCCTATTTCACATTAATTGGTTAATGACTTTAGAGCATTTGGAAACCGAAGGACAGCTTTGGGAGCTAAGGGTGTAGGTGTACAACTTGCTAATTCAGTATTTGTTTACAAGGGTACTCAGCTGATGCCTTTGGCTTTGTTTTCTGTCCTCCTCCCAAGCCTGTTAGTTGGTGTCCCTCCTGAAAGGGAACAGAGCCTGAGATGTTACCTGATAGATCCAGATAAACTTATCCTGGCATCATTGTGATGTCCTGACAAGTAACGGTTTCCACTAAAGTAAATCCGTCAAGTTGACTTGTGACAATAGCCTGAGAATTTGAAGGCTCACGAAAGGATCATTTTAAGACAGATAATTGCTTTGTCCTTTCCTTTTATCTTCTGTACCTGGCAGATGTCTCCCCCTGCTTTCTTCTGTTTCCTTGGCCCATCCATGGAGTATACCCTGTACAGATGGGATCTTCAAAGAATCTGCTGTCAAACTTGGTCTTTTCTAAGCATACGTATACTGAAAGTTTTTGGAGACTTCTAACTGTACCAAATGTTGATGCTATTTCATAGGAACAGCAAATAACATATCTGATAACAAGGAAACTTTCTCTGTCAAGTTGTTACTTTGAAACAGGTTTAGTAGAGCTCATCAATGAACTGTTTAGTAAGATTGTGATTGATATTTTATTTTTAAAAAAGCAACCCTATGAACCCTCTCACCTCCCCCAAATTCCTGCAACTTATATCTCCCATGCCACGTATGTTGCTAGAAATAGCTGAACTCTTCTAGTTGCAACTTCTGAAAATCAGCTTTGCATATCTCCATGTGCATCTCTATTATATGAAACCAAACACTGTCTTTCCGCTGAAAGTAACAGCTTGTCTTAGCTATGCACTTTGTTATTTCTACCTTTTTTTGGATGGATATGAAATGATGCTCAGGTTTGAGAACTCTACCTCTGCAGCTTCTCTAGGAAGCATATTCATGTATTTTCTTTAATTATATCAGTTTAACTTGATTAGTTATGATTCTAACCCTACAACACAGGTTACTAACAGAGCTCAGAGAGCTTGCATGTCCTTGGAGCCCTTATGGGTGGGTAGGTGTTTAGAAATGTGGAAAGTTACCAATTACTAATGGTGAAATGCTGAAAGTGGAGCAGGACTTTAGGAAATTATTTAATTTCTAGCTGTCTTTTAAACATTAAGTGAAGTTTGATAAGGTCAAACTTTCAAGAATTACCAGAAAGTATACCGATGCGATTTTGAGAGGCAGTACTCTGCACATGTAAAATACCCTCTAATGGTATAAACAAATCCCTGTAAGGTATCATAGAATAAACAAGCAAAGAGATAGGGATGAAACTAGCACATGCTGATTCTGAGGACCAAACCTGGGATCAATTGGCAAATAACACCTTCAGGAAATGTTTGAACTGTTTAAGGATGTATTTTCCCTAAAATATCTCTTGGTCTATCTCAATTAAAAAGGAGAAAAACTCACTTGCAAAGATATTATTCAAAGAGAAGTTCTGCCTAGTGATTTTTGTTGTTTTTTTTTTTTTTCTTTGTTTTGCAGACAGTCGTCCTTATGTGTTTTTAATGGCCCGTGTTCACCCTGGTGAAAGCAATGCCAGCTGGGTGATGAAGGGGACCCTGGAGTTCCTTGTGAGCAGTGATCCCATTGCTGATCTCCTGCGGAAATGTTTCATTTTCAAGATTGTTCCCATGCTTAATCCTGATGGAGTCATCAATGGAAAGTGAGTTGTGACGTACTTATTCTGGAGTTTAGCTGGGTTTGTCTCCAGTCTTTAGCCCTGTGCACCTAGGAGGTCTCATTTTCAATGTTTTGGGTCAGGAGAATTCTTTTGGCCTCGTGGGTTTTTTTTCATCCTGTTATCAATCCTGTATGGAAATGTGAATCTGAGATACACCCCAGTGTGCTGTCTTGCCTTTGTCAGAGGTACATAATTCTGTGCTGTGCTTGGCCATAAAATTTCTCAGCTGCCTAGATATACAGTATTAGTTCTGCTAAAGAAACTGGATCTTTCATGTTAAATCTCTGGGAAGATCTTATAGCAGCCTTCCAATACCTGAAGGGGGCCTACAAGAAAGCTGGGGAAGGACTTTTCATAAGGGCAACTAATGACAAAAAAAGGGGAAATGGGTTTAAACTGAAAGAGGGCAGGTTTAGATTAGATATGAAGAAGAAGCTCTTCACTGTGAGAGTGGTCAGACACTGGAACAGGTTGCCCAAGGAAGTTGTGGATGCCCCCTCCCTGGAAGTGTTTAAGGCCAGGCTGGATGAGGCTTTGAGCAACCTGGTCTAGTGGAAGATGTCCCTGCTGATGGCAGGGGGTTTGGAACTGGATGATCTTTAGGTCCCTTCCAATCCTAACCATTCTATGATTCTATGAAATGGAGATCTATCTATTCTGCTAAATCAGCAGGGCAGATTTCACCTGCAAGACAGATAGGCTTGGGAATAACCGGCTTTAATTAATGCTTTGTATAGCCTAGTGGGGGAGAAGATGAGTAAGGATCTATTAAATTTTCACATCTTCATGGGAATATTTCCATATAGTGAAGCTTCTTCCTTCTTTCACCTTCTTTTCAATCTTCCCTCCCACATGTTTCCTAAGAGATACTGAATCTGAGCTTGGAAAATACCAATTCTTTTTTGCATTCCTTGCCTTATACCATCCCTTCCCACCTACACTGACTTGCCTTCCCTGTACGTGAATGGAAAAAAGTACAACTCTGCTCCTAATTTGTTAACCTGAAATAAATATTGCCATGCCACTAGTGAAAGAGGAATTCCCTTTGAAGACCTGAAGAGTGCGCTAAGAATAAGCTAAGTTTGTATTTTGCTGGAAAAAATCTACAGTGTCCCTGTGGACAGTGGTTTGTTCACTTCATTGGGTGTTTGTGGAGTGGCTGTAGGTTAATAATTATCAGTCCTGTCTCTGATGCAGGGGCAGGATATTACAATTGCATCCCACTGGTAGCTAGTTATAGGTAGGTGAATTGTGCATTTCCATCTGGTGATAAGGGCTTGCAGGTTTTGGTAACAACTGTGTCCTCTGGCTTGTTGCAGTGGAACACATGACATATCTTGAAACTGAAAGATGGGCTTAGACAAGTGCTGAAACACAAAGCAAAGTGTGGAGGAACAACTTTTCTTAAGCTACGTTCTCTGTCTGTTTTTGGCTTGGGCAGTGCAAACTGAGTGCAGCAGAAACAGAAAAACAATCCTGAGCAACAACTGAGTTGAAAATGTTTGGTTCTAAACTGATTAATTTGATTTTTGGGTGAGAAATTCAGCAGAGAGCAGCTTGGTCTTTTCTGTTGGTCTCTAGCCTCTGACTATGAACAGTCACAGCTTTTGTGCTGCTACACTCCCTAGGACTTGAGGGTATCAGTAGTTTGGGAGGACTGTTCAGAGTAGCTGGATACTGCCCCAGAGTATTTGAAGCCTCTGCTGGCACCAAATGCTTCCTTGATCCTTCCAGACAGCAGAAGCAAAAAAGAAAGGTTGTGGCTTTTTTCCCCCCTTTCTTTTCCTTCCACTGCACTTAATTAAAGTTTCCAGCAGATGGAGGACTGGAGGGAATGTCTGACCTTTTTCTCCAGCTGTCAGGAGTGAGTGTAGCAGAGAAGGGGCCTTCAGGAGGGAGGACATGGCTCTTGGTGACATCTGCCTGAGCTCGTGTCACACAGGAAGGTGTTTTGTCTTCTCTGGTGCAGATGAGCTTAAACTGTAGTTAAGTCTGGTCATACATTAAAAAGTTTGGTAAGTCTTGCATGTGGGATAGGAGCAGGGACTTGGCCATGGCCTTGTTGCTGATTGTGAGGCCTGAGGGAGGGGGAGACCCATTCCTTTATGCTTTAATGTAAATATTTTTATCCTGTGAAGCCCAGATATTCTTCTTATTTTTTTTTTTTTTTTTTTTTTTAGTAGACTTGGATCCCCCTGTGCTTAAAGTAATGCTTCTGTTCTGGACCTCAGGTTTACTGGTGGTGTGCTGGAGATAACCATGCATATTGGAGAAGGCAAATATCTTTGAGGGCCTTAATGTCTCTATGTGCACATACAGATTTATTTGGCTACTTCATGTTCCATCTTGTCCAGGTTTAAATACTTGAGTAAATTCTGTTAAGTTGATGTTACATGGGAAACTGTTTTCCGAGGAAGTTCATCTATAGCCCTTTGACCATAGAACTTGTAAGAAGGTAGTTCCTAAATATTTTTTTCTCTCTCTAAGTGACTTGTTGGCTCTGGGATTCACAATCCCTTTTGTGGAAGTCCCACTAGGTATCCTCAAGCAGACTGCTAGAGTCCCTGCCCAACGTCACAAGCTGCTGTTCTTTTCTAGCTTTATACAAGCTCTTGTGCTCTCACACCTTCCCATTATGAGAACTGGACATACTGAATGTATCAAATCCACTATCCAGGCTAACAAGTGTTTTGTCTCTGTGCTGGACACTGGGAATACCTACATGTGGTAACCAGCAATCTTGTATTTTATTGTAAAACAGATTTCTTCTCTTTCGGTGTCTCTCTTGATTTCGTCTTGGTATCTCAATATCTTTATTTAAGAAAGAGTTGGATTCTTTTTTGTTGACGGTTCCCTGAATCTTCTTACACTCCCTCCTCCCCAGCCCTGCGTGCTGTAGTGTGCCTAACACTTCCCTGCCTGTCACAGAGACGAATGGCAGTGCCTGGTTACAAAGGATTTCTTACAGCAACCCAGCTGTGCCCATTCCCCTGTGCAGCTCAGCGGAAGAGTGCTCATCCCAGCATGGCACTGCATGATCATGCTTTGGGAGCCTTGTGCAGCAACGAGATGATCAGTGCCTTGGTATTTGCTTTGGTTAATGTGATCAGAAAGTGACATGCAGAGAATGTTACTGTAATGCAGATAGGACCACAGCAATGTGATTATGCTCTGGCTGCGTGTGGCTGAGCTGGGAAGCAGCTCTCTGCCTTCCCTTCCACATCAGTCACTGCTCTGAGAATCCGTTCCTGTCTGTCAGCGATGTAAAGAATTGCAGTCCTGTCGCTGATGCTAAATGAAGGTAGTGGTGATGCAAGTGTGCATGTATGAGTGGGGTTGTCAACACATAAAAATATAGATCATTACCAAATATTGCAGCTAATTTGACTCTGTTCAGTCCAGAAACAATTGATGAGCAATTATGTTGCTGTGTGTGGCTGAGTGTTTTGCTCCATCCTAAGCAGCAGTCAGGTGTTGGGTTTGTCAAATAATAATGCAGCTGATGTGATAATGGCTGTATATTTTAAATTAAATAATAGACACTGCTTTTCATAAAGTTCATCTGGCTTTTGACCACTGCTGGCAATGGGATGCTGCCACATATAGACCTGTGGTCTGATCTGATATGGTTATTTGTGTATTTTAATTTTGTTTTAATATCAGTTACAAGGAAAAAATAGTCTTAATCTTCAAGACCAGTGTTGTAAGTCAGTCTGAAGTGACAGCCATATTAAACTACTTAATGGAAGGTGTTCTTATAATCTAACTTTATTTTGCACAAGTTGTTCTGTAAGAACCCAAAGTAATAAGTGTTGTTTGGTCTTATAACTTGCTACCTGCACCATACTTCAATCTTCTTTTTAGAGTAAATCATAGTAAAATAGAAGGAATTAATCTCCAGTAAGTCTTACAGAATTCATGAAGAGTATCGCTTTCATTAGGAAAGTGATAAAAAAATGCAGTGGGTGAGTGAGAGACCTGTGCTTTGTTCTGTTAGCAGGCTCTGCTACTGGTGCACTGTGAGACATTGGTCATTGTCCCCACCCTTTGGCTGAGCTTTCTTCCTTAGAGTATGAGATAATGACATACCATAACCTTTGCTCAGTTTGAAATGAAGACTAAAGTGTGCATATTGTGAGCATTTGCTCTAGACCTACTACTGTTTTCATTATTAAGACTGACTTGTAGAATGTGGAAAATAGTGTTCTTGGGAAAACTCTAGATTTATGAGGAATGGTGCAGCGTAGCCTTTGGTTAAACTTTTTTTGATTGCTTTTTTAAAAAAAAAAAAGAAGTTCATCTCTTCAAGTGAAATCTTTGTCACCAGAACTAGATCTGTTATAGTCACAGGTACGTAAAATCCTGCAAGTAGAGTTCAGTAAGAGAACTTGTAAAAACCTTAATTATGGCAGCACAAAAAGAAGGTTTTATAAAGAAACAGGACATTGTTTGCTGTCCATGCTATTCTACATAAACTCTTTATCACACGTTTGATCATCGAGTTGTGTGTGTGCTCATGTGTGCCTGTGCAGTTGCATGGGAAGTTGTGATGAACTCCTCTGCTGTGTGCACCTGTTGTGCCTCCTCCTGTTAGCAGCCTGCTGGTGCTGCAATTCCCCAGCATCTGCTCAGACCTACGTGCCATCTACACACACCTAGCACTCCCACACATGTGCTCACAGTCACATGGTAACCAACATTTTGTGGTTTTGGCTGGACTTCTCCAAACACTGAAGTTCTGAATAAATATTGCTATTTATTACACCTAAATTTAGGGTTATTAATTATATCAGTATAACCTAATTTATATCACCATAAACAGTGATAAATGATGCCAAATGCTAACACTTGATGCTTGCCAACTGTGCCTGTTTGATGAGGGTTTTTTCCCCCCCAGTTCCCAGAAATATTAAATTAAAAATGATTGGCCTTGCAAGATCATTGATCAAGTAAGAAGTGGAAGCTCCTGGGGAAGTGATTTT